CCAACATCATCAAAAACAACAACAACAACAACCACACATCGCATCAACAACACTTACAGACACGGCAACAACTTGCTGTAGTTTCAATTTGAAAGAATTTATTCCAAGCTCAAACAACATCAGCACGGGTTTTAATATAAGCAGCGGCATAAACAAAAGCCACGTCGACAACGGCGCCATAAACAACACAGGCAACAGCAACAACACATTAGGTCATCATTATCGTAATCAGCAACAACAATTGAATACTTCAAACAACGATGCAAGCAAAGAATACAACGAGCAGCTCAAAATCAACAACACGAACAACAACATCAGCAATGACAACAACAACAACAAAGGCAACGGAAATAATAATGAAAGCGACATAAATCGGAATATCACTAGAACGACATGTAGTAGTAGCGACATATATTACCCGACATCCAATATAGACGTGCCAGACTCCAGGGACGCGCATACCGACACAGCTCTAACAAGTCCACCTCTTATTTACAAACCCAATGCCACTTGCATTCTCTGCTGCGCCAACGCAAATTTAGACAAACGAAATAACTCGGCAAAAAATTTGCTCTTAAATAACAGCAAATCAACACAGATGGATCCGTTCTTAAAACAACAACCAACAAATATTCATCTACAATTGCAGCAACAACAACAACAACATCAACGTCACCACCACCACCACCAAAAGCAGCAACAGCAACAACATCAACAACAACAACAACAACAACAACAACAACAAGATAATGATGTCATCGAGGAGAGTGCGACTAATAATTCTCAATCAATTTGCACGATGCTTCGCCAATCGAATCACGGCTTAGATCTACTTTCCAGTCACGTTTTGTCAATTAGTAGCCCCCGAGATAATGACGGTTGGAGCCAATGAAATTTTTATATACTGCTGCATTTCTCATCTTCATCTTTCCACTTTAAATTCTACACTCTTTCTTCATACTTTTTATCTTCTTATTTTTTGTTTTACTGGGTATTTTTTTACTTATATGTCATGTCTATTTTATATTTTCTTTTTTTCCTGTCATTTTCTTGCATATGCGAGAACATGACCTTTTTCTCTGTTGAAAACAAACGAAATTTTAACGTGTGCGTACATGCATGATTCCCGATTACAAATACTCGACATTCGTGTAGGCAGACGAAAGCGCAGTCGCGTTCTAAGCCACATTGGCTACCTGAAGCAAGCGATCTCACATCATTCAAATTCGTTCTTCATTGCTAGTAGTGGTAGGTTGGTATGGGTAATCGTGGTCTGAATGTAGCGGCGTAATCTTTCTCACTAACTGAAATGCTGATGTGTATAACGACATTTATGGTAATGAGGTTACAGACGATTGTAATAAATAAATTTTTTCATAACTTTTTGGACTACAAATTTTCTTTTTAAAGACGTTGTTTAAACGAATTTAAATTAATTATTAAAATATTTTCGTAGTTTGGAAGTTTTTGAAATTAACATGAAAGTTGTTTTGCTGTTTTTAACTTTTTATTTTTTATTGTGTAATTACTATTTCATTTATATTAATGTACATTTTAAATTTGAATGAAACTTTTGAAAAAAAATATTTACCTGAAATTGTTCTAGAAAAAATTTGATAACGACGATTCATTCATTACTCCGGTTGTATGCTAGAATGAAAATGTAGAGTGCGAGTGTTTTGGAAATTGGAAATCGCTTTGCAGTTTTCAACAAGTTGTTCAGCTGCTACAGAAAGCCTATTAGACTACGTGTAAGAAAATAAAGCACTCGTTGCGAAAATAAAAAAAATTAAGCAATAGTTTATAACTTGGGTATACATACACTGCACCGTGCTTGGCGATCAGAAACGTTGCATTGGACCGATTCACTTTCATGAACAGACTCCTATCAGAACATGAGCAGTAAAAGAGGAACTGGTGGATGAAGAGACGCGTAGAAAAGCGAACTAAGTCATTCTTGTAAACTTTTTCGCAATTGATAGTACAAACCAGCCGCCAGCATTGTTGCTGTTGATCGCATGCTGAAACACGTTTTTGCTTCTGTTTGCTGTAAGTTAATTGAGTAAAGTCTATCGATTAGGTAAATACCAAATGAAACTACCAATATAGACGGGTTGTTTGAAGTATGATTTTTGTAAATTTTGTTACAAAAAATTCACCTGGCCACAACATGATGTGAATTTAATCAAACCAGCTTGGGTGAACATTACTAAATATTAATAAATAAATAAATAGATAAATCCATTTATTATGAAATGCAACGAGATATCATGAATTTTTTAAAGTTCACGCTTAATTATTTCTATTTAAAAAAAACCTTAATGACAAAACCGCAGAACTTGACACAAACGTGTAAAAATCTATCTCCGAGGTATCCTGAACATTTTGAAAAACTGCTTTAACTAATTCATTAAAAAATGTCAACTCAAAAACACGATGGTTTAAAATATAAATTTTATTACTACAACCAATGATGTTGATATGATTAGAATTAATATTAAAAATAAAATATTTAACGCGGAATCACAAAACTTTTTTAAAAATTTCAGACAGAGCACCGCCATCCACCGGTAATTTCATAAGGGGTAGAACCTAAGATCCGTCCTGGGCATCAGATGAATAAGCCCTAATCCTAAGCCTAAATATTTTGTATCATTTTTTGGGATGAGGATCGTGCTTTGGATTGTTCCGATTCTACACTCCATATTGTAAGATAACTCACAAAATATTAAATAGTAAATATAACACCGGAAATAAATGCGTTACAGCTATAGATACGTACATACGCGATATAACGGGGTAGCATTTATGTACTTTTACGAGAAAATTGTAAACTTCTTCTGAAGAAAAAAAATAAAGGAAAAAAAACAAGAAAATGTAGAAATGGCAATAAAGATTTGCAAAGAGAAAAACAAACAGGAGTAAGTTTGAATGAAATAATCAAATGATTTATCGCCGGCTTGCTTGCTATCCAATAGACAACGGCGATCGCAACAACTACAACTACACCAACGCTTTAAGTGGCAGTAGTAGTTGCAACAGTAGTAGTAATAACGCCAATAGTAGTAGTAGAGTAGTAGTAGTAGTAGTAATAGCAGTAGTAGGAGTAATATTAGTAGTTGTTGTTGTAGTAGTAGTATTTGTAGTAGCAGAAGTAGTACTTTAAAAATTAGTATTAGTAGTAGTAGTATTGGCAATCCTAGTTGTATAAGTTTCAGAAATGGAAATAAGGATTGATGCTGCTGAGATGTGGGTTTTGAGAGTAATTATGAAAATTAGTTAATCTCATACCTCATGAGGATGTATTAAAACAGTTCGCTTTTGAAAATGGAAACTTACTAGAAATAATCCGACGGGGGCAGTTAAAGTTTCTTGGTCACATCGTGCGGAAGGAAAGAACGGAAAATTTAGCAACCGCTGAAATACCGAGTAGTGAATTTTATGACGTAAGTAATGTACAGTAGTAACAGTAAAAATACCGGGAAGGACTAAAATTAGTAATTTTAAATCGCTACATGGATCTAGCGCTAAAAAAATTTGATTGAAATCACAATGAGGTAATTTATTAAGTTATTTAGTTGTATAGTAAGTTAGTTACGTAAGAAGGAAAATTGATTGTGAAATAATTTTGCTGAAAAAAAATGTAAAAATTTCATATTTTATACAATTAAGATATACTATGTTATAAAATATACTGTCACATATAATTAGGCAAACTTAACATTCGTAAGTAAATTTTTAAAAAAATGTTTATTGAAAAAGTGATAAATTTTAATAAAATGTAGGTTTTAATAAAACTTTAATTTTTAAATAAGTTAATAAATTGATACAGAATATACGTTAATAATAGCAATAATAATAATAATAATAAATAACAATCATTATTATTGTTTATTAAATAATTGTTAGAAAGAGTAGTGTTAATTTTGATGGCAGATTCAAATTGGAACAAAGGTTACATCACAATACAATGTACGTATATACATCATTGGTCAAATTCATACATAATTACGTTATGTATCCGATATTTAACCACGATAATTGAAGCAGAAGAACATTTCATGAAAGACAACTTTATAGATATATAAATATACACACATTTGGCTGAATAATATTCAGCTTAAATAAATTTGAATAAATGAAAAAGTTAAATTTACAATAAACAAATCTAATATAGAAGTTGAGTATTAACTTTTAAAAAGTCAATACATACCTGTTTGCAACTGAAAGACCGATGGAGTCGTTTGGGATATAGGTTAAAAGTATGTTAATAAAACTACAAATCAAAAATATTTTGATAACAATATAAATTGAAAATACGTTGATAACAATTTAAATTAGAAATATGTTGATTAATATATCATTTAACAAAATGATAACGAGTTGTCCTTAACAAAATCCCTGATAAAAAATGTTTGAAAAGGTATGTTTTTTGAAATTATTACAAGATAGAAACATTATCTTCTCTTTCATTCATTCATTCATTCATTCATTCATTCATTCATTCATTCATTCATTCATGCATTGAAGTTTACAAACATATTGTGTGTGAATGCTTTTGAGAATTCTAAAACCGCATGAGCGTTGTCATTTTCAATAGCGAATAGTTGTTTAAAAAATAAATTGCATATAATATAAGCACTTCAAAAAATTTTTTAAAGGATCGCCAGTGAAATAACAAAAATAAATAACATTAAAATGATAATTTCAATTGCCTAAACATGACAAAAAAAGTGGAACTATTTGTTGATGTGGATAAAGTGTAACGGTTCGCCTGTTTTTCACATTTTTAGTCAACATTTTGTCCTTCATTCATCATTCATTTACACATTCATCCATCCATCTATTTTTTCATTTATTCATCTTCTCATTGATTCATCTTCTCATTGATTCATTGATTCATTCATTCGTTCGTTCATTCAATCACTAGTTTTCACTCCATCTTTCGTCACATCCAACATTTCTAGTTGGAAGTTGGCCTGCTTATGTTTCCTTGATTGGAACGCGTAGTAGTAGAAGAAGAGCATGCCAACAAAGATGAAGATGAAGGAGAGGATAATGTGCAGGCCGAAGATTTCAATCTGAGGTAGCAACATGACTAGGACGAACTTCAACATGTCCATCAGCATGTTCAACGAGTTCTGCACTCCGTTCACCACACCGCGTTCACACTCATCTATGTTCTCCTGGAGGAGTTGAGTGACCACTAGATCCGCCATCCACAATCCTGAACGATGGGGGTTGTTAGGGTTAAGCTAGTTCTAGTTGTTATGTAGTTGTGCGTCGTTGGGCTTTTGTAGGAAGCGTTTAGGCGTCAAAAAATAAATTTAAAAATTTTTTAAATGGAAATATCTTACCCAATCTAGAAGAAATAATCCCGACAAGAAGGAGAATCATCGAGATGTTGGAAAAGTTTACAAGACTTTTCACTCTGTCACCATCTCCTTCCTTAGTAGTATTCAACGAGCTACCGGTTAAACTGGACTGGTTATCATTGCCTGTGCCATTAACGTTAAGATAAAAGCCACCAAATGATTTTACGCCAATAGAGGATGAGCCTTCAAAACTTTTTTCTAAACCTGGAAAAATACTATGCACTTGCAAGTTATTTTCCGATGATGAACTTACATTGGAGCCTTGAAGAACCGAAGAAGAGTAGTTGTGATTTAAAAATGTTCGCCGCGTCGGATCGAATTTGGTTCCAGGTGCCCAGATGGAAGCCACAGCCAAGATGAGACAGACAACTTCAGCCGTGTACGCAAACACGCCAGTTCTTTCCAATCCAAATCTTTTTGCCATGCGCGTGAATGCGAACGCTCCAATGATTCCAACGAAGCCCGCCAGCCCCATGCACAGCCCCACAAGTGCCTCATTCACGTCATTCGCGTATATGTAACCTGCATGTATGATACATCAAAGCACATCTATTTATTTATATTAACTAATAATGGTGAAGCAAATGTTAATAATGGTGGCCCATAGGAAGATTCATCACATTCATCACAATCCATGAATGAGAACACATTAAACATTTCCAAAGGACATATCAAAACTATTTATTCCCCATAATAAGCAAGCAAGAAATCATTCAATGTTGCATTCTTATACACTCGAAATAATGTTTAAACACGTTACTGTTAATGTTGAGCAAACAAAATCCAATGCAGGGCAGCAAATAATTAATTATTTTTATTAAGCAAATAAACAAACATGTCCAAAACATGAGGCTAATTACAATTATCGAAATTGCTGAAGCTCAATAATTTAATTACCACATTCGACTCGGTCGTGGCACACACGTCGGTGAAAGTGAAATTCAGACTCAAATCAATAGAACAGTTGTATGTTTTTGAAACATCTGCCCTGGTCATACATGCAATCTACAACAATAAACTGAAATGAGTGACCAACCGACAGTTATGCTATCAAATCCCATAACAGTCATGTAGAGACAGGCCAGTGAGATGCCAGCGTAGAGAACAGACTGACGGGCGTAAACCTTCCAACCACTGAACAAAATGACAAAAGGTTCGAAAACCTTCTCCACGCAACGTTTCTCCTTCACTTCTTTCGTAGTCTCGTTTTCGTTTGTTGTCGCTGCTGCTGCTGCTGTTGCTGCTGTTGTCTTCGTTGTTGTATCCCACTTTTTATACTCCCCTGCTGACGTTAGCGGGGTTGTGATCAGCTCCTCGCCTGGTTTCAAGCAGTTGTTCAAAGATTCCACATTTCCCGCTTTGCATTTCTTCAACTTCTCATCATCAACTTTTAATCCGCCTGAAAGATTCCACGTGTAAAAAGTTAATAAAGTAGCTCTGCGCAATACGAATACCTTCCAATGCATAATTCACAGTTGATGAGAGGATTAGTATGGAATGCGCTTTAAACATACGATGCACCGGTACTACACACACACACATACGACCTAAATACATGCTGCACTGCAAATAGTAGAGGCGCATTATATTACATTCAATCTGTGAAACAAACATCAACATGATTGATTGGTATTCAACGAATTCAATGAAAACTTTGAAAACTTGAGCACACGTATATACTTATATGCATTTGCGAGCATGTATTTAACACTTATAAACCTCCTTTGATGGCTAGTTGAGGCACCATGTTGTAAATGCGGAGAAGTATGGCATACTCCAGAAAGACAGAAAGAACATTCCAGGCAGCGAGGACAACAGCCGAAACAACAAGAGAGGAGTAGGACATGATGAGACCCACTGTCAACGGTGACACGATTTTGCAAGCCAGGTCCAGAGACCTCGTTACTGCATTTAAATCTGAATGGGATTATTGATGTCGAATGGGAAGTATATTAGTGTTTACAGAATGTGTCCGTTAATTAATAATTATGATCATCTGTCACTAAGAACAAAGAGAAAATTGTAAAAATAAAGTTTTATAGAAAAAAACCCAATTAAATAAGTAACTATTTCATTTCATTTATTATGAACGTTTTACTAGCAAACATTAACATAATCACACAACTTTCAAATAAAATTAAAACCGTTATAACATGCACAGTAACAAGTGTAAAGTACTAGTTAATAAGGAAGTGTTGTCGGCTGTGATGACCACAATCCAATCCTTCTCAATGGCTATCTTGTAAGCCACACTGGACAACTGGGCAACAACTGCCATGCCAATAACCAGTATCTAAATTAATGAGAACATCTTAATCCTGAATCCTTAAACCACAATATGTGCTCTAGCATTTATAAACTTTTAGAAGCAATTAAATAAATATTTTCTGTCCACTATTTCTATGAGTATAAAATGTTATAACACGAGAAAATTTATTTAAATAGATTTCAATATTATATTTCCAATTTTCCATGAACAAAATGTAAATAAATATAAAAATATACCCATCACCAACATGTTTAAAAAATCAAAGGTTCATACAGCTAAATTTAACCAGAAAAAATTGAAAGAAATGATGTGAAATAATTGTATTTTATGGAAATCAGTGGAAGCCTGTTTTATTGGACAATGGAATTAGATGTTTATGACGTCAATGAATTTTTAATTCAGAGGTACTAGGTAGTGAGTAAGTCACAGTGTGACTAACTACAATACAAGTCATTTTGAGATGTAATTCATTATTCCCGAAAGCACGTAAGCCGATTATTCAAATCACTTGCAAAGTGTGAACGAGGTTGAGAACATTCTTTTGTTGTCTGCTTTTTTTATGTTGAGCTTGCATTCAGTTGATTGTAAATGCATGAATTGAAAACTTCCATTCCTTACTTACTTGATATGGGCGAATGATTTTTGGCGTGATTTTTAAACATTATGTTGTTATGTTATGCATATATTTAAATCAATTAAACCTCAATAATACAATTTTTTATTTAAGTAATAAAGGCAATGAATTCCAAATATAAATTCTTAATTCAGTTGAATTAAAATTTAATTTTGACTTCTCAAAATTACTGAAGCATCCAGCCACCCGCAATTTTACAACTTATGAAAAACATTATCTTCAATCAAATAATTGCTAGCAAACCAAGGCAAAATGGTAAAAATTATTTTACTTGAAGATAAAACAACTAAAATTTTTAAATCTCCACAAACACATTAGCATAAACATTAAAAAAACTGCAAGACAAAACGAAAACATGTACAACAACATACACACACAAACACACACATGAAAAAAACAAACAGACAAACAAACAAATATACACACACGCACACACAGACGCACACACACATACATGAACTTACCACCATGATATATTTACCAAATGCTCCTTCCTTCAGAGCGTCAACGACTGGCTCTAGACCTAGGACGACACAAACGCACACAGAACTCATGGCTACGGAAAAGTTTTGTATGAAGAGAGATATCCTTACAACTGTCAAACAGAAGATAATACCAGAATATATCATTGTTTTGTTGTACCAACGAATTTCAAAATTAAACATTTATAGCCGTCAATTTATTAATGTCTGTTCATTATTGTCAGTTTTCGATTGATTACATAAAATGTGTAGCAAAAATATTTATTAAACTAAATATCTAACTCATCCAATTTCAAATGCTAATTAAATAGTCTCTCAAGTTTGCACGAATATCATGCTGACACACAAAAAAATGATTTATCTTAAAAACGTTCACAGATTTTATTTTCTAAAAGTTATTTATCAACCTTAAAATAAAATAGTTTAATTCGTAACTAAATAAAATTATAAAATTCAATATTGAAATGACCTCTGACCTTTCAACCTCCCATTCCTGTCAACCCACTCTCCGATGATGCCCCCAAACAAGAGGACACTCACGCCACCTGTCAGCCCAAAAATTGCAGCCAATCTTAATTCTTGGCCAGCGAGGTTCACTAAGTATATGCCAACCGAAAACTGCCACATCCAATCACCCTATTTAAAGTTGGTTTTATGTACACACGTGCCAGGTATAATGTGCATGTATAAGCAAGTCATATTAGTTTTATTCATATTTATTTCAACATTCTTCAGTTATGTTTGACACCAAGTTTTTATAAACAGTAAAGCATTGGTAATTTTCAACAAAAAATTGTATTGATTGAATGTAGCAGACCCATTGTGAGAGCAAAAAGTTGACCATAAGATAAAAGGAAGGGCTGCCACACCAAGACATGCACTTGCCTAAATTTTGAAATTTATTTTAAAAAGTTTATATTTAAATAAAAATTGCTGAATAGATATTTGTTGGATGAATATTCAAAGCTCTTGTCTGATGTTGCAAGCGAACAGATACTTAAGACAACTTTGTTTTGCTTTCAAGTGTTAGTTAGCTCAGTGTAAATAAAAATTGAAAAAATAAGTTAATGAATACAAAAGGACGGTAATAAATCAGTGAAATGAAATTAATGATAAAATTTAATTGCAGTTTAAATCATCATTTTATATTTTTATTCATCAGGTTTGTAGATAACCACTTTATATGGTTAGAAGGAGTAAAGAAAACCAAACAGCAGAAATAATAATTCATTATTGTTGTATTTTACATTTTCATGTAAAAGAGAGCACTTGTTTCAACAAGTGTTATCAGCCATTTGTCAGAATGATAATGAACGAATAGAGAACAGAAGTAAGTCTAAAAGAAGTAACAGTGTCTAGTGATGCTAACAAAAATAATTTAGGTAAGCACCTTTGATTACTCATTAAAAAACAACAGTAATGTCCGTTGAATATTTAAGGCACACCATGCATGGTGTTACTAGCATAAAACATTAACAAAATGAAATTTTAATAAATGCATTGATGCACACTTATAAATTTCAATCAATCAATCTTCGTTTTGCGTCCAGAGACCCGGTTCCCCAAGGTAGGACATTGTTTTCTTTGCCATCAACTTTATGATGAATACAAAAAGACCAACAACATAAACATACATTTATAAATTTAGATACATTACATTATTATACTAGCACATCAATGTACATTACATTACTTGATGATAATTAAAAATGTTCTGACTTCTTAATAATCATAATAGTCAAATAATTAATATTAAATTGAATTAAATAGATTTGAATGAGGTATTTCCACATTCCACCACATACCATTCCATGTTTTTTCTTTTTTCTCATCCTGACGATTTGCTTCCACCTCTTCCATGATCTTGAAAATTTATGTTTATGACTTTATTTATGTCTCAAACAAAACTGCTCTGGAAAAATAATTGTAAAACTGAGTGAAAACTTTAAAATTTTTAAAAGCAATTCCTGAAAATGGAAAACTATTACCTTATTTTCAAAGACTTTGTAGTTTGTATTATATAATCCTGGTTGTTGAAAAAATTATTTAATAAATTAACAGAAACTCTGGAAATAGTGCTTTTGTTTCTAGTCTAATAAAATGAAAAAGTTATTAAAAAATAACATATTGTTGTTGGTCAGTTGGCCTTTGATTTGATATGACAAAATAATAACAAATTATTGAACTCAATGTTGTCAACAAAAAATGTGCATGTAATTATAAGTAATTGATATTAAAAACTATTTATTTACAATTCAGCAAAAACAATCAATACAGAAAAAATAAAAAAGAGAGTATGATGTCGTTTGTTGAAATGAAAACAAAGCAAGCTGATTCAATAAATAAATAAAAATAAGCAAATAAAAGAACAATATCGGCCAAAATAAACCGAAAAACGGCTTTTTATTTTAAATTTAAATAACCAAACAAAAATAAAAAAGCATGTGCCATCATAAAACCTCGATGCAACGAGTGTCGTACGTTTAGCAAGCTTTAAGTAGGTTTGTAATGTTATATTATTTTATACCTTGCTTATATAATCCATGCATAAGAGAAATAAATCATTGTATATAACATAAAATCAAATTAGGTTTAGGATCATTTAACGCACGCTACATCTTATTAGTTATTATTATATACTAGAAATGTCAACACTTTTAACCTTTGAACTTTCAAAATGCTACCTGACCTGCTGTTTGATGAACTTCTGTAAAATGCCCAATAGTTTATTTTGGATGAAATTTTTGGGTAAAATGCAAAACTTTCTACACCACACATGTGATTAGATTGTGGCTGGCTCATGACGACTTTCTTTCAGGCTTTTTTAAATTTTTGTTTACTTATCAAAAAAGCATAATTGAACTTTGTATAAATAAACTGATAAATAATAAGGCTAAGATATTTGTGCGCACATCTTGATCTTAATAACAATCGCCTTAACTGATATTAATTGAGAATCTTGAACGTCAAGCGTTGTTAATGATATGTGGTGAAAGAAAGCATGCGTGTGTCTGCAAGAATATTCAATGCGAAAAATAAATTCAATATAAGCAAACACGCAAGGGCATTAAGCAAGAATCATTTCATTTTCATTTATATCATAATTTATAAACAAAGACAATTTTCAAGTCCTAACACATGGTAGATACCTAGCTAAACTCTTTATAATATTCTGCTTAATGATTTGATGACTCACCAAGTTCGACCCTTAAACGTTTCTCAAGCACTTTAAATACGTACACTGGAAAACTCAGCGCTTTAACCATGAAACGGAGGCCTATATAAACGCGTATGATGCTTGACCAGGATTGAAACGGACACAAATGCAATTATGGAAATAACTGCATTTTTGTTTTTCTTCGTCAATTTGATTCATTTTATTTTTAACAAGAGTTTCTTCATCATTCGTCAATGGTAATTAGTAATCTTGATAACAAGATTCAAGGTTTGTCGATAATCTAAATTTGTTGGGTCTACTGCTAATGGTTTTGACTCACGACAGCATTTATAAATGACAATTTGGAAATTAAAAAACAAAGCTAAATTTTTTGGAGAAAACGTTGCCAAAAAGTGATGAAGATAGTTTGGGTAGAACAGAAGCATTGAACTGAAATTGCTTGAACTTTGAACACTTAAAAAGTTACAGATGACCGACTAAAGAAATGTGGAATCGTTGAAATCGAAACAGAAAGTAGAAAAAAACGCAATACCCAAACTAACGATGACGATTACGAAATGACGATGATGACTTCCAATGACGAAAAAACTGACTCGTTAAATGGAACTGCTTCCTCTCGGTTGTTCGAATCTCAACGGAAAACAATTCATATTATTCAGTTATTTATTCGCGAAATCATCTTCATGTGACATCTCCAAATAACGAAAAAGTAAGAAGCCTTCTTCTCGCTTTTTCTTAACTCGTGTTAAACACTCTTTTGCCAAATCTGCTTTTGCTTTTTCTGGTCCTTTCTCTGGAACTCTCTACCTACTTCTCTGACTACTTCTTCATCACTTGCGAAGTTCAGAGCGGATCTCAAGACCCATCTGTTTTCAAAATTCATTGAGGAGCGCTGTTGAACATCGCGGAAATAGCGCTTTATAAGATGATTGATTGATTGATTGATTGATTGACTGACTGACTGACTGACCGACCGACCGACCGACCGACCGACCGACCGACCGACCGACCGACCGACCGACCGACCGACCGACCGACCGACTGATTGATTGATTGATTGATTGATTGACTGACTGACTGACTGACTGACTGATTGATTGATTGATTGAAAGATTATTTTTCAAATAACTGCTTGATATTTATCTGAATTTTTTGTGAAAGCTCGGATGAAAATTTTGGCAAAAGTAAATTACAATGGATTGTATTAACCGGTATAGAAAGTAAATTGGATGTAACTGTTCGTTACGTTACGGTACACCGCATTTTTTATAAAATAAGAACGTAGGATATTTTTTTTGGATTGTTAAAATATAGTTCGTTAAAATCTAGATCTTTGTGATTAAATGTGACTAATTATGATCTCATGAATAATAATTGCAAATAAATGAAGTGGAAATTTGCAAAATTAAGAGATCTCATAGAAAAATCTAGACATTTAGCTACAGCAGCTTGCGTCGGTACAATTATGTAAATTCGACGAGTGGGCGAGCTACTCAACTGTAACGCACACACAAGAACACGGACATTATTTACAAATACACACACATACACGCACACACATACACGCACATACATACGCAAACATACAAACAAAAGCGTTTGTGAGAGCGTGTGCGTATCTATATAAATGTATGCCTCCTACTAGGTTTCAAGTATTTATATAAAGCATGTAGAGAAACAATCCATGTAATATATAGACGTAGGAATACACTAGAAAATAAACGGCTCGTATATAACATTTTGCATGCTATATATTTTTATGCAAATATTCATATTTAATATTTATTTATACGCATGTATTATTTATATGTAAATATAATGATATATATGTATCATATATATGTGTATATCTGTGTAAATGTATACATACAATGTATATATTTATGTTCATATGCATATGTACATGTATATATATATGCTTGTATAATATACATACATATATATATGTATATATATATAAGTATAAATATATGGCAACATGATTTGATGCAATGATTACATCTTTCAATGTATGTATCCTTTTACGCAGACAATGATTGTTATCTGCTACTCGACGATATGTAACATTTTGATAGATGTGGAGCAGTTTTTGTTATTTTTTATCATGTTTTTCTAGATTTTCATAGATAAATATTTGATTATTAATCTAACTAACCGTCTTATTGCTGGTACGTTTTTGTTAATTAACTTTCTCAAAGATAAAATTGGAATAGTATGCAGAAGTGTAAGGATATTTTATCTTTATTAGGTGTAATATATACGTATATACACACACAGTTATATATATATATACATATATATATATAATATATATATATACATATATATATATATGGGTGGGTACTCGTATAATTAAATTTGTATCTAATATACCAGTGGCGCCGCCGACTTTTTTATGATGGTGGAAGTGCTAAAGATGAAATTTTCTTGTAAAAATTATTATGAACCTATTAATAAAACTACCTATTGAAAGGAAATGTTGTTGTGGATTTCATTTTTAACTCAATCACCTTAAATTTGTTGGTTATTTATTTTGGTGGTTTATCTTCTTATGTACAATGTTATGGTGTTGTAGGTTTGAAACTTTTTCATTGTAAGAAAAATAAAGTGTCTGTTCAGTAAATAAACACCTAATAATTATTAATTTTGAAACCAAAAAAAAAAAAAATAAAAAAGATGAAACGATTTTATTGAAATTTGGATAAAATGTCATGAGCCGGTTCTGCCTAACTAATTTACAATTAATAATTTTACGTTTAATCTAACCTACCTTATAATTAATTAGCAGTTCGTTCAGCCGGAAGCAACTTGGTTAATGTTGCCGACACTCATCATGTATTAAAAATATTAATGTTTATATTTTTATGTTGCGTTGTTGAATGTTGTTAGAGATAAGAATTCAAAATTTATGATGTAAAGAACATTAGTTATCAGTAAATCAGCAAGTGAAATAAGAAGCATCCCAAACTGAATGAATGAATGAATAAATGAATGAATGAATGAATGAATGAATGAATGAATGAATGAATGAATGAATGAATGAATGATGAATGAATGCCATGTGCAAACTGCACGTTGACGTTAAACAACGACTTCGTTAAACTAAAAACTTACACTTCACTAAAAAATTGAAACATTTTTGAGGGGCATAACGAAAATTATACGTGACCTATACATACATAAAATATGAAAGGTTTGAACCCTTACCTTTTGCATATATATACATACATACTTAAATATACACATACATACACCGTATATATATATATTTAGAAACATTTGTATAGCGCAAATATATATTTATATATATATATATATAAATATACAACACATGAATATACATACATGTATGTATGTATATATATATACACTTATATTTACAACAATTTGTGCTTTTATTAAAATGTTATAAACATTTCATGATTCTTATGAAATTATATCATTGATCATTTAAATAAAAACATTTTTTTGTTGAATTATTCTGCGTTATCATATATTGTGACTTAGATTTAATAGATTAATTTTATTTATAAAAATTTCAAGTTGATATTTGTTGGCTGCTTATGATACTTTAAATATCATTGGATAAATCCTGGCGTTGAATGTAAATAAGACAGGTGTCTGTCTGTCTTTTATTGAAATTTTATAATTAAGGATTTTTTTGTTTGGAGTGTTGTGGGTTTTACAATTGAATATGATAAAATTTCTTTTAAAAGTTTTTTCATTTTATGTTTTATTCAAATTGCTAGGAGAGAGAGAGGGAAAGAGAGGAACCAGGTGAAATAGAGGTCTGATCGGATACGATGTTGAGAATGAGAAGTGGCTGTTTCTTGGTGGTGTTCCTCTTGCTCAGTGCACTCAACTTGATAACGGAAAGTGCTGTGGACTATAGCAACGACAAATGGATCACGGCGTTGAACCGCGATTCATTCGCCAAACTCGTCAACGGTTCTGACGCGTTTTGGGTGGTTGAATATTACCTGCCTTGGTGCGGTGCTTGCAATTCGTTCGCCCCCATCTTTTCCGCTTGGGCCTGGGAGACCAGAAGTAATCTTAAATTTACACATCCACAGCCTATTGTTAATGCTAATATGTTAATATTGATTTTAAATTATCATTGCATATACGAACTGACAGGATGGAGTCCTATCGTGAAGGTTGGAGCAATATCGTGTGATAGTGAGTCAGATATGTGCGTCTCAGAGAACATTCACGGAGTGCCTTTAGTAAAGGTGACTAATTAATTAATTAAATTAATAAATGAATGAATACATAATTAATAATAAATGCGATATCAGATAATTTAATTTGGTTGACAAGTTATCTTTTTCTCTACTTAAATTATTTGTTTAATCTATTTATGAGTCAGTAAGTAAGATTGTAGGACATTAACACTACTTAAACGACAATTTTATAACCAATTCAATACTCGTATGCTAAAAAAGAGCGTTAATAATAACCCTCTACCATTTATAATAATGGTAGTGACAATAAGATCTCATATTATAAGAATAATAATTTTCGTAAGAATAACAATAGCTTCGGCAGCAGTTGCAGTAAGAACATTATAACGACGACGACGACACACGACTTTAAAATCGACAAACAGTTCTACTACAGTTGGGATAATGCGAAGAGATCAAAGGATTTGTCCACAGGAATTCCGGATGTTGGCCAGATGAGGAGAGCTTTGTTAAATGAACTTCAAAAAATCATCAATTCAACGACAACCAAACAGGCTAAATGGCCAACATTGGCTGAAATCAAGTTAGTTATCGGGCAAAATTAACTCATTAAGATGAAAAAAGTTAATCTTTTTTTGTTAACACCGCTGATGATGATGGTTGTGGTGATTATGATAATGATCGTTCTGCTGGTTGTGACAGTGATGGTTATTTTAATGTGCACGGTATGTTTGTTTATGATATATACGTATGGGGATTCAGTGAAGATAAAATTTTAAGAATGATGGCGATTGTTGCTTGTTTTTTTGCATCATTAATTTCTATTAGCTATGAAAAGTTGTTTCTTGGTTTTACTTATTGGTTTAACAGTATACAAATGTAGTTTTCATAAAAAGAACTTTTGAATCAACACAGACCAAATCAAAAATGTGCTTTCTTAGTTGCATCATAAGACGTTTCTTACTCTAGATATAAGCATCTGTTTAAGAATATCCGCAAATCAAATAGCGTTTGTAGTATTGTTTCCATCATTGCAGTTTGAACGGCTCGCTCTTTAACGACGACCAGTTCGTGTTCGTCATCGTTGAGAATGAACACGCCCATGCCAATGACATTGGCAGATCGGTGAGTCTGGAGTTAGTTTACAATTCGTTGGTGTTTTCAACGATGCTTTTGATTTTATTTATATGTCTGTTTAAGATTTTATTATTGAATGTTACTTTTTTATTGTCCGAAAGTTGATGTTTTCGTTTTTAAGTTATGGAAATATTTTTATTTGGTTTAGAGTATATTAATAGTTATTAAAATAATCCTTAATGCAATGGCAGAGAAATATTTCTGAAAAAAATCGGCTCATGTAGTTTAACTAATTTTAAATGCCATATCTTCATTCTTATAATTTCTCGTTATGCTATCGTGAACGGTGTGTTCGTATTCTGCTCGCCAAGGTTATAATGGATAACATAATGCTCATGCCCGATGTGATGGTGTATCGATGCAATGACAAATCTCCTGATAATAATCTGGTAGCTGGCTTCTACAGATACTTTAGCTTCAACAACTCATACGCCAACATCAATGCGTTCGTTTTTATATGTTTTTTTCGTTTCAATATTTGCTCGCAGCTTTATTTGATTGGTTTTTTTTAAATGGTTGTAAAATATTGAGATTTAAATTCTGTGTACTTATGTACTTCACGTCATATAACTTGAACGTTTGATGTTGTTGTATATGCTTACATTTTTGTCTGCATTCTTTTTGTTCGTTGTTAGTTTTGTTGTTTCAATTGTAGGAACCTCGCAGTCGTAATTTATTATTTAATTAACGACGAAGGAAAAAAGTTTATCTTTTAGTCATGAAATCGTTTCAAGTGTGCAAAAATAAGAAGTGCAAATTGTTCATACTTTTGCAGACAAAAAATATGAAATTTATTTTTTGTTCTGTCATGTTGGTTTATACAGACTCGAGAAGAGTTAGTATGTATGTATAAGGCGGCGTAATAAAGATATAATGCAGGAAAAAAAGAAATGAAGTTGATCATCTTCGAATGATGAAATAATTTATTAAATAGCAACAATTTCTTATGATGCAGCTACTAACAAATATGATGCAGTGCTTGTTATATTTATGTTGTGTTAGTGCACACGTGTTGCTTATGGCAATCATTAAAATTTATTAGTTCATCTGTAGCAAATGTTTTTATCTTTTTTTTTTCTATTGCTTTGCCGCTTCTTAGAACTTAAAAATTTAAATTAATATCAGATACAATTTTTTTCTTTCCCTAATTATTTATTTAATATCTACGTAATAGGTGTGTTACTCTCGTTACAATTTTTTTTTATAAATTTCGTTGTAGCTACTATTTAGATTGTAATTATTTATTCATTGCGTTGAAACTTTCCAGTGAATACTCCAGAGCAGGCATCAATGCAGTCATCTTGGCAGTGACAGGCAAAAACATAAATGGCGGTGGAGAGGAGGGCGGCGATAAAAATGATGACGTCATTCCTGATGTTCGGGTGGATGATAAATCATACGTCTACAAGTTAGATTTGTTTGTAAAAACATTTTTTAAACTTTTTGTCAAATCGCGGCGGTCTCTTATTTATATCACTGTTTGAAATTCGTAGAAATTATGTATTTCGCAGTTTAAAACAGTTGGTGAAGGGGATTTTTTAATGAATGGAACCAACTTATTTGAAAGGTTAAACTAAATTTTGTTGTAACGTAACTAACTCTTTTTTTTGACAGGCCACCACTGGGATTGTATGTGCAAGACCTGACGACCAGCATCTACCACTTGTTTCATTACGAGGTGGCATCTCAAACAACCATCGACAAAGAAGCGTACAAGGCTCTCAAAACATATCTCATGGTCCTCTACAGAGTAAGTTTATTTTTCATGCTTCAACACCGTTATAAAAATCTTATTATTTTTTATTATTAAATTAAATCTTCATTTGTTAACGGATTAATCAGGATGTCTATGAAATTTTTCCTTCTAGTTCCACATTGTAGATGCTCCAGTCCTGGAGTTCGTCAGATCAATCCTTGGCTGGTTGAACACCGTCTCACCACCGATCACTTCGCAGCAATGGGAGGAGGCCATCAAATCTGTCGATGTTAGTCCTTCAGCTATTCAACCTTTTGTTTGCTTGGTAGTAAACACTTCCAAACTATTTTTAAAATTTTTTAAACTGCCCACACAAACATTCATTGATTCCAAAAATAACGTGCATGCAATTTATTATTCGAATATATTGACTGCAACATGAATATTTGTTTAAATTTCTGGCTGAGGGCTTCAAGTTTTTCATTAAAAATGCAAATGATGGTAAGAGCAGATGGACCATTTTTTTTTGTACGTTGAAATTTATGACGCTCAATCGAGATACTGAATAGATGGTTATTTACTTATGTGAACAATCGTATGTATGCACTTGTACATTTATGCGTTTATGAAATATATGTACGCATATATTTATATAGTTATTTATTTATATATATGTTTGTAAAAAGTGTACTGTGCGTACACGTGTGCATGTGCATGCATGTTATAACTGCATTTGTACATTTCACCTATTATGATTTTAAATACAGTTCGAATGTTGTTTATTATTTTCAAATTTTCAAAATGTCTGATCTTTCATTTTTTAGTACAACAAATATTTCTACGCTCTGCACGGCTTTCAGTTATATGCAAAACATGGGATGTAACTGATATAATATATATATATAATATATAATATATGATATATAATATGGCATAATGTATAATAACTATTTCGAAATCAACTTACATTGTAATTATTATTATTTAGAGAGTCTATCTATGTTCAATGCTTCAATGACCGGATTATTTTTAAAAGATAAAATTCGTTGTTATGAAAAACTTGAGAACAGTAAAATAGTGAGATTATATTACCTATCGTGTCATTCATTATCGAAATATCGGGTTTTGATTGTTTTCTTATCTGATCATTCTTGTCATTTTGATTTATTCTTTACAACAAGATATGTCGCCTTGTTTTTTTCATTGTTTTTGAAGGTTTAAGATGGTGAGTGATGTTATACATGCAGCCAACGCTTGAGTTTCGCGTGCAAGTTAATTAAACTTGAAGAAAAATAAAATCGAGCGTTAAGCATTTAAAAAAAGATCGTGACGAATAGAACGGCGCATGAGCTTATAGTTGTAAATACTATTATTTACACAAACTAAAACAGTTTTACTTAAATGTTAAACGTATTTTAATAAAATATTTATTAAAAATCTAAATAAATTCCTTCACGTTATACTTTGGAATAGATTTAAAAAGTGTACGTCAAGTGCGTCTGATAGGGACGAGTGTTTCGGGTACTTTAAAATACTTTCTCTATCGTACCCGTGTCTGTCTATGTGTTCAACTAACAATCCCGGATCTCTATTCTTTGTCCTAGTTTTGTGTTTCTGAAAAGAAAAATAAAACTAAATTTTGAGACAATTTCACAATGTTATAAAACGATACTTTTTCTTGACGACTGTGAAACCGATTTGATTTGATTACAAAGCTTATTGTGGTGGAAGTAAATTTAGCAAATTACTGCAGCATACACCAAGAGGAACAAAATACATGCTGCGAAGTACAGATGCAAAAATGCTTCATTATCTTCTAGGGTTATTAATTTGCGCCGGTTCTACTCTCTTTTTGTTCCAAAATACCTTTGAAAAAATGCTTCGTTGAGTTTTTGGCTGATCATTCCTCGTGTTTGGTTATTGTATTTTGTATTTTGTTTGATGTCTGTGGTTCAAACATTTTATATTTTATTTTATGCATTGAAAATAACTTTTCGTTGTATGAGGGATAAAATCAAAGCATCATAAGTTGTAAAAGATTGTTTATTTTAAGTCTAAATTATAAATCATTTTTGCTAGGTGAATAACGCTTCGGTAAATTTAATCAATGAAACTTTCTTTTGAATATTTCATAAACTAACTGGATTACTTCTCCAAATCAATTAATCTAAAACTATTCATCACCAGACGAGAACAGCCTACCTACCTGAGAAGAATGAGTGGAAAGCTTGCAAAGGTTCTGTGAGTCATTACCGCGGCTACCCCTGTAGTTTGTGGGTGACCATTCATACGTTGCTCGTCAGCGCTCATCGTAATCCTCGGGGAGGTAGTTCCCAACCTTTTAAAAATTTATTTATTTAACATTTTATCATTAAACTCAAAATTTACTGAAAATTTTATTGGTCAATGATAACGAAATATAAAATTTCGAAAAGTTTTAGCAATAACATATTTAAATAACTTTTATTTGTCATGTTAGAAAACGTGCAAAGAGTCGGCATGGACATATTATTGGCCTTCAGGGGCTACATCGAACATTTCTTCCGATGTATCGAATGTCGTGAAAACTTTGTAAAATATTCAAAAAATTGGCTGACCGAACCGAAAAATGCCTCGTGGACGGCCAAGAAAGCTTCCATCGACATTTGGAGACGACACAATTTGGTGAACCTCAACCTACACAAGATTTCTCCACTAACAGAAGATCCTGAATTTCCAAAGATTCAATTTCCATCCATCGTGGATTGTCCCAGGTGCAGACGAGTGACCTCGAGAAATTTTTCAGTTTTTGTGTCAAACATATCGGACTGGGACCAGGAGAAAGTTTTTGATTATTTGGTGAAGTTTTACAGCATACCAAAGAGTCAGAACTGCGCAGAACGCGGTTGTTATGATTTATTAGTATTCAAATTGATCTCAATTCTTATGCTGATTATAATTTATTAGTATTCAAATTGGTCCCAATTCTTATGCTGATCATAATTTTTTTTTAACGTACTTTATTGCTATGCTGGTGTTTTTATCTGGTTTGCTTACTAATGAACGTATGCTTAAAAACTATATATATTTATCGAACTCGTGTTTTTCCCCATTATTTATAAATTAATTTTAATTTGCTGTCCGATACTAGCTTTGCTTTTATTAATTTAAATAATTTAATTTTAACTATTTAATTTAATAATTTAAAAGAAACTATGCTAAAAATATTGGAGTATTTTATTTTTAACAACATTTCCTTTATTCGATTACTAATTTGGTTTAGCGCATGTTTGCCTTTGTTTGTCAATAATTTGTGGTGTGGGTTCGCTTGCTGTTTACTAAAATTTTAACGACATCCCACATATTGAAACTGCTTGTACTGTATTTTTATTTTTGCGGGCTTGTTCTTTTCAGTTTAATACTCTTAAACATAGTTAACACCGTAAATTTAGTAGCGAATACACGTGAACAAGGTATTTAATGAAATTGCATACTGAAGGGAAGCCTATAGTTTCAACAGCGTGGGGCCCTTGCTCCAAGACATGCGATGCTGGTGTCTCAACCAGATTCTCTAACGACAACGACGAATGCAAATTGGAAATTCAAACACAAATATGCATGGACAGGCCTTGTTCTATTAATTTTCCATCGGTTTGTGTTTTATTTTATTATGATTGTACCCTTTTTAAATTTTCATTCAAACTTCATTTGCTTTTGTCTCTTATTTAAAAATGGCTATTTGCAATTTTTTTAGTGTTTATATTGTTTTACGTTTTCTATGCCGGAAATGTTGATTCGTTAGAATTCAGTTGTTTGTTTACTAACTTTCAAATAAATACCAACAGTGGACAGAATCACTTAAAAAAAGACAAGAATGCATCACTCGGGGCAACACGTACACCTCATCGGTTTCTTCAACGCTCAACTTTTCCAGCTGTTCAACTCTTCTGAAGGAGAAATGGAACATTTGCGGTCTGTGTCCGTCTCGACGACCAGGAGGTCGGCCCGTATGTTGCGTTCCAAAAATATTCACTCAGAAATCTTTTAAAGTACTCTGCAGTAACTTAACAATCGCAAATGAAAGAAAAGATAGCAAGGAAGATGCTGTTTGGCTGAACGAAAAGTTGAAGCCTAAGGATATCGAGAGAGCCAGGTATTCAGTCGGTGAGATTAACGTGCGCATGGTTAAGTTATGCGCCTGCGATGAGAAATATTGTTGAAATTGCAAAAATGCTTGTTTCAAAACCACTGTCTTTTTTCAAATTATTTAAATTATTTGAAAATGCTTCATCTGTCAGGCAATATATTTCAGTATATTCCAATTTTGGTTTTGTTGTTCATTCATTCATTCATTCATCATCATTTTTAAAAAATCGAATCGGTATTTTGTTGATGACTTGTTATATTTCACGGTTTGTTAATTCCATCGTACACCTTTATTGAACTGGCATATTGAACATTTGTTCATTAAAGTGGTTTTATTTATTGTACTTGTTTTTTGATTTGCAGTTTCAAAAATGCTTTTTAAATTTATCAAAATAAATTATTCGTAAAACGGTATGCTGTTTTGAATGACTGGGAAAAAACTTTAGCAGTTGTCAGCTTTTGTTAATCAATGAAATAATTTAAATGAAATTTTAAATAAATACTTTTGATAAACACGTTTTTTAAGCATTTATAATAGGAAATGAGTGTTTGATTTATGACTCATCATCCGCACCGCATCCGCAAAAAGGCAACCTAAATAAGCTTTTGAGGATAAATATTTGTTTATGATGCATGTGTGTCGGAGAGAATTGAAGAGATTGTTAGTGAGATAAAACAACGTGGGTTGAGGTGTTTGTTGTACGCTGTTGAGGTCGGTGCAAGAGGTGTTGCTGGTTGTTCAGTTAACAGCTTTTTGAAGGATTTGGGTTTGTTTGGCAGGTAAAAGACGATCGAATTGTTTGAAAAACCTAGGACTCACAGCCGAACAAGCGTCTTACTGTATATGGTTATGTAGGAAAAAAAGGGAATGCGAGTTTAAATAGTTAACATACGAGATTGTTGGCACATAAAGCGTCCGATTATTCAACAATCCCAGATACGGCTCAACGTGTTACTTGGCTTGTCGATATAACTCACATTGTAATATGTTAATATGTAAACTTTCTGGCACTCCTATACAATTTTACAGTTAAAGGGCCGAAACACTCGTTGACGGAAACTCTTCCTCCGAAGACTCTCGCTGAACGCTCGTTATGTTCGAGTTTCTATATATATATATATATATATAATTATTGATGAAAATCACAGCATGTTGGGCGTTATTTAACTTCCAATATTTAACTTTTCGATTTTACTAACGGTTGATCGTAAATCATTTTCAAGTTTTTTTTAGTTCAAAACCAAAATTTTTGTTTATTCAAAGCTTTTTCCGGAATTCCTATACCATCTTCGGTGTTCAAATTGATATGTTGTGGTTGTACCCTGATGCTCAAATTTATATATATGTATATATACTGTGCCTCGTTATTGATTCCTTGCTCCAAACAAATAAAATCATGCGCTAATTCAGCACGACGTCATCATTCAGAAAATAAGCTTGTTTTTATTTCTTTGTTGTTTCTATGTGTATTAGTTCTTGTCATGAACGATAATTAGGGGTAGCAACATTATGAAAAAAATATAATTGTCTGTAAATAAACAAATTAAAAAATGAGTTTGAGAGAATGTTTATTTATTGTTTTTACAATTTTAGGCTTTTTAAATTGCGTAACTTATTGTTTGTATGAAGATCAAATTGGCAAATTTGATTGGTATGTTACCGTTTAAAATTCATTTTCTTACCTTACACACAGCTTACTTACATTCAAACACCTTACCCTTACGACCCCTCTTACTCTTGCACTTGCTTGCTTGTTTTTTTTAATTTTTAAAATGACGTTTGTTTAAATTTAAAATTTTAGGGCTGTTCAGTTAATAGGAAAACCAACGTTTGTGCAATACATACATAATGGTCAAGCTGTAATGAGAGTAGTGGTGGCGTCCGAGAGAAACGTTTTGGCAGTCCTCAACGGAAAAAATGGAGCACTGGGTTGGCGTCATGTGTTCGAAAAATCGTCTGCTGGTAAAATTGATGATGTCAAAATATCAGGACAAAGTAATTCAGTTGCATTTTTTTTGTTTTGTTTTTTTGTCTTCTATTTTTTTGTTAGTTTAGTAATTTAGTTTAACTGTCTATCAATCCACATTTTTTTAAATTTTACATTTTAACCCTAAAACAAAGTTTTAGGGTAAAAATGAAGCCAACTCTAAAGGCAAAAACTAGCCATATAAAATTATAAATGTTTTATTTCAAAATTAAACAGTATTTAAATTTTATTTGTATGTTATTAAAATTTTTGAAATTTCAGACATTGTGGTGTCATTTTCTGGTGGAACAAGAGTAAGATGCTTCAATCTGATAACTGGCCTTTTGCAATGGGAATCATCAGTGGCCACCACAGATTTGTCACACACTTTCTCGCTACAAGTGTTTGGTCGCAATCCTGGTAACTCTCTTAAATTTATAAATTTTTTATTGTATATTTTTTATTAATTTTTTTTTAATAGAATCTTTATATCATTAGAAAAATGAATATTTAATAGGAGATGTAATTCAAGAGAATGTAAGCTTTCTTAAGATGAGATTTTTATTTGAACAGGCTATATTGCATTATTGACAAAGACTCACCTGACCCTTTTAAACCTTGAAACTGGCAACACTAAGTGGTCATCTGTTCTGCCTAAAAGGTTGCTTCAATTCATTAATTCATTTTTTTAGATGAAAAAAACTATTTTTTATGCAGACCAACTAATAAGAGATATTTTGTAATGTAATCAATCAATCAATCAATCAATCTTCGTTTTGCGTCCAGAGACCCGGTTTCCCGAGGTAGGACGTATTTTGTAATGTAATATACTTCTTGTAAGATTCATAAAATCGCCATACATGAGAATGGCTCAACAAAGTGTTTCAAAATATAGCGTTAAATATGACTGATTATGATGAGGATGATCCTGTAAATAGTGAAATTGTAGTTTAGCTTTCATACATTGCACATTAAAAAAATTGTAAATACTAATTTGAACATTTCAAAAGTGATTCTGTGACTCATTCCTACTTATCATATGCTGATGGGAAGCTGACAGTTGTCCAGGTGACACCGAGCAATCTGATCACTATCCACAGTTATGATACTGATCAGACGACACTTTTCAACAGAGAATTCAATGCTCCATGGGTATCCAAAGACAAAAAGTTCAACCAATTTCATTGATTTTTTTTATAAATTATGTATGATTGGTGAAATGCATGTAGTGTGGTGTTAATTTTAAAAGCAGTTGGAAGCAATAGAATGTATTGCTGTATGGTCATTCAAGTGTTTTAGTGGTAAAATAAATACTTTTTTCATTTTTTATAATTGATAATGCAAATGAGAATTTGTATTTAATTTTATATCTCTAATTAAACTTGACACAATTTGACTTGCTTTTATTTTATTGATATCATAATACATACATCCCCAATTGAATTGTCTATATAGTCTAAATAGTCTAACAAAGAACACCAAATGCACTGACCCTATACAGATTGTGCACTGTAGTGCAAAACTCACATGTGGCATGTTTGGATGTCCTGGGAAAGGCTTTGTATACATTGTCATTCAAAAATCCACTGGCTCATTTCAACAGTTATCCTCTTCATGTATGCAACATTTTTTACCTAAAATTGTTGTACTAATATAACCATCATGATGATGATATGTTAAAAATTTTTAGCTAAAGATAATATTGTTATTTATAGATTTGCATATCTTTAACGCTCATGAATAAAATAATACACACATAACGACCTTCACCTTCGTATAGGAAGCCATAGAATCCCCTTCATTTCAAACTCTTGAAATTGTCGGGAATTCCGTCCTGGTGTTGAAAGTGAAAGTTGACGTCTCGCTCGTGTTCACAATTGAAGATGGACAGCTGGATTTGATGTACACATTGAAAGGGGTTGATGCATTGTTAATGATATTAACATTATCAATTAAACATTGTTAATGAGGTTAATGTTACCAGTTAAACATTTATTAATGATGTTAATGTTAATACAAGCTCATTTTATTACATACTAGTATATTAGGATTTAAAGAATTACAGAATTAAAAAGAGTTTAAAGACCTAAAAGAATTATGATAATAATGACGGTAGTAATAATATTTTATAACAATTATAATGATTCAAATAATTATTTTTGCAGCCAACAGCCTTACAGACCATAGTTTATGCTGGTGACGTGGTTCTCGGTACATTAGCCAGGCAAAGCCAAGAGGTTCTCAAATTTAAAATTTTTTTTTTCATTCTCAACTTTTAGTTTTTTCACTAGAATCTTAAAATTTTAAAAATTGGTAATGAATGTTTCAAATAATTATGATATTATTATTAAAAATTTTCAATTTTTTTATTTTCATTATTTAATATATATATATATATGCGTTTGAACAACAGCTGTTGGAGTTTTCAGCCTACAGTTTGACATCAAAAAATGAACTGAAAAACTTGAAACAAACATTGAAATTTCCAAGCCATCATGCCAATCCTTTAGAGGTTTTTTTTTATATTTGAATCATTTTAATTTGTTTACATTTATAATTAATTACTCTTGCGTAACTACATTACATTTCAACAAGTAGCTTCTTGATGTCATCGATATTATTACATATTTATTACATAAGGCACTACTTAAAAACATTGCGCGCACTCACACCACACACACACACACACACAACGCATGCAGATGTATGGTGGTAGTTTGAAGATGGATACACTGACAGACAAGTACCTATGCTCGTTCCTCATCGTATCAGAAGATGAAAGCATTGTCTCCATTCAACAATCTGGTTACTTAGATACATTTATTCAAACCTATTCCAACAGCAGTTTTTTGATTTCTTTCTGAATCATCTTTAAATTAAATGATGGAAAGATTTTTAATAACGTTAATTTTACTTTTGAAATGATTAAATTATTAAAATGTAACTTGACAATACTTTAACGCGGTGTCATAAACTCTACTGGACATAAAATATCTGGCGGCACGTGGAACCAGGCAAGTTCATGTGGACAAGGGAGGAGTCGTTGTCGTCAGTCATCTCCACTGAAATGGTTGATCTGCCTGTTTCCAAGATCATGGCTAAGATGGAAGATGAGTTTGGTGTAGAAGGTTGCGTGTCTCTTTGTATATATATATATGTGTGTGTGTATGTGTTATGTGATGTTTTTTTTATTATTTTTATTGTTTTTTATTATTTTTTAATTACAGATATATAAATGTTTTTAAATCATGGATATAACTGTTGCTTCATTTTTTTGAGCAGTTATCAATTTTTTTCCTTGTTACAGAAGGTATCTTGCAGATGTTTGTCAAACGTTTCTACACTCAGTTTTCTCAGCTCAAAGTTAGAGCATGATTCTAATTTAAAATTTAGTATTCCAATGTTTTAAGTTTTGTCTATTAATATTAATTCAATTTTTATTTATATTTTTGATATTTTTGAGGTGATTCAAAAGTTAAGTAAAGAGAAAAAGTGAAAGATAGTTTCATAGACTTGAGTAAAACTACACTGCGTTTGAACTAGCAGTAATATAATAATAATAATTTCGTTTTGAATTTATTGTTGGCGGGAGTTTATTTAATAATGTGGATGACAAACAACTGTTATATGTTCAAATTAATTACACCAAACTGAAATTTTAGGTAAGTTCAGAATATTTTTCATACTTTCATTTATATCCAGACGTTTGTTTTGCAAATGAAGAACAAATTGAAACTTTTATTTCCTGGTCACCACCATCATCACCACCACCATCATTATCAAGCCCACAACCAAGCAAATGAAGAAGATGAAGATGATGATGAGGACGATGGCGACGATGATGATAATGATACCCTTGATGAAACTTACCTAACTAGGGATGAGTTTAATTTGCACAAGTTGATCATAGCTGTTACTTCTGCTGGCAAGGTCTGTCTGCCCACTCGTCATTCAATTATTCAGCAGTGTTTTTGCAGGTAAAATTAGTTGAACCATGTTAATCAAACCCTTTTGTTTTTAACATTGTCAGATTTTCGGGATAGACAGCAACAGTGGAAAGAACATATGGAAGATTTATGTTGAGGACTTGTCTCCATACAAAGTCATGAGCGGTCAGCACGTTCTTCCACTGTTCGTGCAGAGAAGTAGCTCTCACTTTCCTCATCAACCTCTCTGTACTGTCATTGGCAGAAGCAAAGTGGGCGTCTTATGGTCTTACATTTGTCAAACCATTTGCTTTTAACTTTTCCAGATTATTTTTTATTGTGAAATGCAACTATTTAGGAGTATTTTTTTCCATTTCATATTAGGCTACAGGAAAGTCAATGATTTTTTCGTTTCATCCAATTTCGGGCACGCCGACAACTTATGAATCATCATCGTCGGAAGACACGCCACCATCAACGTCGTCATCACTGAGAGGCAACTTGTTGCCCTACAAAGTGACCAATGCCATCATGTTGGCTCAGTTTGATGTCCACTTTCTCCATCCTCTCCTTCTCATCGATGACCAGAACAAGGTAAGGTGACTCATACAAACGTTCAATGTTACAGATGTTTGTGAAAATTATTTTTTAATATTTATTTTTTTTCTTTTAAAAATATTTTTTATGTCGTTTATTGATTGAATAATCATTTTATTGTGGCGGTCATTCAAATTATAATAGTTATAATTCTTTCACAAAAACTTTTCAATTGAAAATTTAAATTAATAATTTGAAAAAACGAAAATGACGAGATGAAAGTTTTGTAATAAGATGGAAATGACCACATCCAGGTCCACGTGGTACCCAGCAGCGCATTTGAACAAGTGCGCAAATTATCTTCATCGCTTTTCACGTTTATTGCTGATGGGGCGAAGGGTTCGGTTGATGGTTTCAGACTTGTGCCAGCTCGTGATGGGGTACGACTGTTGTTTCCTTTCTTTTTCATTATTTTGCCTCATTTGATGCTTTGAGGTAATTTTAATTGATTTCATCGATGATTCCAATGAAAAATTGTTATCAATAAAATTGTTAACTTATCGAACCTTGGTAGTTGTGGGCACAATCTACATGGTCAGTTGATGTGGGCGCAAGTGGTCAGACGATATCTGCTGTTTATTCTAAGCATCCTAATGGTATACTTATTTATTTGTCATCACATTCACTTGTCGTCACATTAATTACACGCACATCACATCATCACGTCCACAGAACATGTACATTCCATTGGGATTGTCCTAGAGGATAGAAGCGTGTTGTACAAATATCTGAACCCCAATCTGATCGTTGTCGTGACCGAGGGTGAAGATGCAGAACAGAAGGAAACACTTCAAAAAGGTCATCAATCTTTTTGTCCGTTTCTCTAACCTCTTATTACATTTCTCTTTCATTCTGTCTTCATCTTTTACTCTTATTTCCATATATTTTAACTGCAATTGCTTGATTTGCTCAAGCTTTTTTTTGTTATAGAAGGCGATATACACTGCTTGTCAAATTTCGAAGACTTTATTTTACATTTTTTATTTTGTTACTTGTTATTATGTTGATAGACCCCAATTAAATAAACATCATGGCAACGACAAACAACACCAACAACAGGCGTGTTCAGCGTACATCTGATAGATGGAGTAACGGGCGATCTGATCTTCCACTGCGTGCACAGGAAAGCTAGAGGACCCGTCAACCTTATTCATTCTGAAAACTGGATCGTCGTTAGTTCATTCTGTTCATTTGCCGCTGGTTGCCTTAATGTGTGTATGCATGTATTAGTACTTGAATGGTTGGTTATTGGGATGGGATTGTTAATTGCCAGTTTCACGTTGAATGTCCGCTAGATGTGTCGACAGAGAGAGAAAATGTTGACATTCATGAGTTAGCTGATTAGATTTTTTAATTTTTTTTAACGTGCTGTGATCATTTAATTAATCTTTTATTGATAATTCATTATCTAAGCTGGCAAGTAAATAAACGAAATTTTAGTATAGTTACTGGAATCAGAAGCACAGACGCAACGAACTTGCTGTGCTGGAGTTGTATGAAGGGGAAAGGCAGTCTAATGCCTCTGCGTTCTCATCATTACATCATCCTCCCCAAGTACTGTCTATCACCTTACAATTAATATAACAATTTATCATTCATTTGGTTTACTAAATTATTAATCACTTGAATGATTTATTAATCATTTGATTGATTGATTTGTTGGTTGATTGATAGACTGGTTGATTGATTGTTTGATAGACCATGTCTAAATAAACCAATTTCTATTTCATTTTTTTTGTGTCAGTGGAATTGTTTATTTATTCAAAATTATTTTTAAATGTTTTTTTTTTCGTTTTTAGACTACGTATAAAAAATAGTTTAATATAAAATATCTTGTCCTTAACATTGCAGCCAATAGTGATGCGTCAGGCTTACATCTTCCCAAGCCACATAACCACACTCGGTGTCTCTATGACTGAAAAGGGACTGACTAACAAGGAAATTTTGTGTAAGCTTTTTCCGACGAACTATTTTCATGTCACAGTTTTTGTATTTTTTTTATTTGACCGTTTTTGTGTATATTTTTTTGAAGTTTCGTAAACTTGACTATTTGGTACGTGATGAAAACGTATTGCTTTTAATAATATGATTGTGTTTGAAATTAATTTTCATTGGAGATAGTTACAAAAAGTAACAGTAAATTAAATTTCAAATTTCAAATTTTTTTAAACACATAGTTGCCATGGAGTCGGGTTCCATACTTGGCCTACCAAAAGTTTTCATTGATCCAAGAAGACCAGAAGTTGTGTCTCCGGAAAGCAGGTACCTTATGTTACATGTTGTGTTATGTGTTGCTATTTCTGTGTTGCACATTGCTGATGTATTCATGTTACACGCTGTTATATATGTGTTGTCTGATGTTATGTGCCATAGGAAATGCTGCAAACAATCAGGAGATTAGAATAACTTTCGTAACCACCTTCAACGCTTATTTATAATAAATACATTCTGTTAGTTATAAACTGCTCATAACCCAACAACTCAAAGAAATAGCTGACCAATTATTTCACTACAACCAGATATAATTGACTAAAGTATAATTTTTTCGTTTGTAACCAGAGAGGAAGGCTTAATTCCATACATGCCTGAATTGCCAAAACCAGCAGATCGCATCATCAACTACTACCAACTGGTGCACGACATCAGGCACATCAAGACTGCTCCATCAGGACTCGAATCAACCAGCCTTGTCTTCTGCTTTGGATTGGGTAAGTGAAGGCTAATAAATATTTAATAAATATATTAATATTTAATTAGGTTTTTGTATTTTGATTTGTTTTTAAGTTGGGAATTTCTTTCCTTGATGGTGTTTAGACTTATTTTTTCTAATTTTAACTTCCAATCATGTGTTTTTGAGATTACAATGATCACCACCATCACTGCAGATTTGTTCTTCACTCGAGTTACTCCGTCAAAGATGTTTGACGTCTTGAAAGAGGACTTTGATTACTTCTTCATAAGCAGTGTGCTCATTGGCATGATTGTTGTTTCCATTGTCAGTCAGAAATTGGCCCAGAGAAAACTTTTGCACAGGGCATGGAAGTGAATTGTGATTATATGCATGATGAATTGAGTGCATGGATGATGAATTGATTGTGCACACGATGAGTTGATAGTCCGAATGATGATAGGCATTGTTTGCATGCTGGTGGATTTTTTGTTGCTATGTAATGGTGTTTTTTTTCATGAGTAACTATGATTTTTTAAGATTTATTTTTTGTCATTCATTTGGTTTATAGTTCAAAATGGTTGTAAAGCTGTTGGCTATGTTTCGTTTTGTTTATGATTTTTCTCTTAATGAATAATATATCATCGTTGTTGATGTCTTTGTTAGTTAAATTTGTTTCCATTGGCCGTACTGCGCTGTTTTCACCTAAAATGTTTTTTACTTTTATATTTTTGAAATCATTAATATGTTTCTGGTCATACTCTTGTCTTGACTTGTATGTCTGATTGGACCTTATTTAACGTTAGATGTTTGTCTGCATCTTCTGACTGTCATTCTGCTGTTTATATAAAATAACAAATTAAAATTTTAATTCTTCCATTCATGAATAAATGATTGACTGATGCACTTTTCATTATTCAGACGCACAACTCTTTGGATATTAATATTTAGGATAAAATTACTAGAATGAGATAAAGATTAATTTAACCAAATCGCGTTATTAAATGCTGGTTGTTAAGATTGAATGGATGTGTCGATTCCTTATTTATTTGCATGCGAATGTAAATATTTCATTTGTGCACCATAAGTCTGTACCATTTATATATTAATTATAATTAATATATATGGCCTGTATATAAGAATTATTCGATTTGGGTATTTTTGATCGTATTTTATTTAAAAATAAAACAAGTTCGTTGATTCCTTCTCATTGCTGCATTTTTCAATTGTAACTGAAATCTCATACGCCGAAACAAGTAATTTGAATGTCACATTATGACCTAAAATAAGGCAATTCTGACTGTAAAGTATTAACAGCGCCCATGATTCCAGCCGCAAAATTGTAGCCGATCAATTAATTTTCTAAAAATCCAACAGCGGTTAATTTCGGTCTAGCTAATAAACAAACGATAGTGCTGACGAGTAGCAGTCTGCATCATGCTATGCCAACGTTTCATTCATAATACAAATATCCTTGTAAAATTTTATGTATGATTTAACTATGGTAATGAAATTCGAGTAGAAATTTAAAATAAATTATATCAATAAAGTCCATTGAGTCAAGGAGACTAAAAATTTTTTTCAAAAGCAGGCAGGCATTTTTAGTTCTATATTGTGATACACGTTGTATTACGTTTGTTCAACTAAAAGCATTTTCCCAGATAGGTGTTCAGGAATGATGAAACGTTGGATAGAAACTTTTACAGTAATAACAAGCTCAAGCATTGTTTAAAATAATCACAAAACTTTCTGTCAAAGATGTCACAGCAAATATTCAGAAAATTATTTGAAATATAAAGCGAGAAATAAATTAAATTAGCACAAAAAATTAGTATACAAATAATTTAGATTAGTATAATCAAATTTTCAATTTTGGTTGAAGGAAATATTCATATCTGACAGACGAATGTCGTGCAGCTGATTTCGAGCTGTTTGGTAAAAAATAATTATATATTTTCAATTAGATTGTAGGTAAATTTATTTGCTGACGAATAAAAGCTTAAAAAAGTAAGAAACCCAAAAAAACAAACGGTTAATGAAGACAGACCTTCAAAGTAGCCGGTGTCTGTGTCGTTCTCAGGGATGGGTAAGAAAGGGGGGTGAAGGCTTTCAATGTTGGCCCAGTCTACTTCGCCAAAAAATTTGCTCTTCTTCAATTCTGTTTCAAATAATATACCAACATCCATATACACGTAAATGATTGACAAAACGTAATTGATTCAATATCAATCATAAAATGCAAGATGGTTTTAAATGTTCAAGATATGAAGTGGGATTCGAAAAAATGTACCGCAAAAACACTAAAATTGGCATCACTATTATTGCACAGCATTTATAAAATCAACAATTTTAAAGCAGATAAAAACAGACACTAGCCGGCACATTTGATTCTTGTTTTTGATTCGATGCATAGGAGAGCGTTTATGACTTCAAAGCTTTCAGTGGACAGAGCTATAGATTCATCACCAGAGGGCCACTGTATATCTGTCAGCAGTCGCGTCAGTCAATAAAGGGAATTGTTTGATTCAAATGTTTATATTCAAAGGTAGCATGTTTATTCATATATACAATTAATTAGCTGTAGTTACAAAACCTAACATAACGCGACTGACCTCTGCTGAGAATGTTGTGAAATATTTTCTCTGGGGTGTCATCAAGGAATGGAGGGAAGCCGGTTAAAAATTCGAACATACACACCCCAAACGCCCACCAATCAACTTCTGGTCCTAATCATTAGCAAAATTTACATACATCGATTTTCTGGTGGATAATATTAACGAACACAAAAAATTTAACAAAAACTGAAAAACAGCAAAAATGAGATGAATGACCATGTTCATATCTAAGCAAGAGCTCAGGTGCCAAATAATCAGGTGTGCCCAGTATCCTCCTGTCCTCTGCATCTACGTTCCTCCTCCCCCTGCGAAGACTCATCGGAGTTCTGTAGTGGAGTTTGTGGCTCGGAACGCCAGGAGTCTGCAGCAGAAATAGTGAAATTAATTTAATTAAAAAAAAGAAATCTTTGCTAAAAATTTTGATATAAGGACATAAAATTGTATTGAGAGATGGGTCGTTAAAGAAGTGATTGAGATAATGTTATCAAACGTAAATTCAAAAAAAAACCTAATTCAAATTGACAACAACCAACCATAAACTTAACAACTCTTTTGGTGGTAGGTGTAGAGAAGTCTCCCTTAAAACCATCAGAACATTCTCTGGAATTATTTGCCTTCTGCATACCAGGCAGGCTCATGAACAGATCTCCCCTTCTCCTTTGTTTTCTCGAGGCATTCCGTGCGGCTGATGTTTCATCTGGACGGGATGGTTCTTCTTTCGTTCTGTCAGCATGTTTGTCATCATTAAAACAAAAACTTGAGTTAGCATCACCATCATCGTCGTTCTCAGGGTCATGCCTTTGCCTTTTCTTTGTGAAGTTAAAACTATCGTCGTGACTGTCATTAAACTCTTTATTATCTACGCTTGATATTTTATCAAATGTTGTGTCTAATGCAGATGAGTTGATGCTTAACTCAGCTTCTTCATGGTTTTCTAGCTTTGTAGAATTCAAATTTTTAGAGGAATCTATGATGGTTTGATTAGAGAAGAGAGAACTTTCTGGAGACTTTGATGCAGAGTGATGTTGTTGGCATGTGGAATTAATGGTTGTGTTCATTGATGAATTGCCCAGGTCTGAATGTTTAATGAGAAAATTAAATAAGGATTCACTTAGCTGAACATGGAAAGTGAATTTGAAATGTATTTACTATCAAAAGATTCATCATCGTCGAGCATGAACTTGGAGATGGGGTGGAAATGATTGATGGGCGATGGACACATCACATCTTCATCCAACTTGCATCTTTTTGCAGGCCTACCACACTCACTTTCCAAGTTAAAGTCACTAACAATTTGTGTCAGGCCAGTGCCTCTTTCATCCCTTCAAATGCATAATCATTCAGTCTTATTTATATTAATAAATTACATGTCTTATAAATTTGTGAGATGATTTTGTTAAATTATTTGTATGAATCACAAACCGATGAAAAGAGGAGCGTTCAATATTATCATTCTTGTTATTAGCATTATTAGTATCACATGCTCCATCATCTTCCTCCTCCTCTTCATTCAGACTCACATCAGCCAGGGAACTGTTGAATTTTGGATCTTTATTCAAGTTCATCTTGGGACTTTTCTGCTTGTTCTTATTTTGTGACACCAAAACTCGCTTCCTATTTGGAGCACTTCCCTGAAAGCTGCTGTCAAGTGATGATGATAACTTTCTGAGATGGTTGTTTGCAGGAGAATGAGGAACATTTTCGTTGGGCACATCTTCTTTGTTGCCACATTTTTTTGGTATGCTCTGATTTAGTAATTAAATAACAACAACAATTTGAAACATTGCTACTGCAATTCGCCTCACTACATAATCATTAGAATCGATTAGAAAGAAAAATTAATTTGTTCAACGAAACAGCACATAAACCACATCATACAAAAGCCAAATGACTGGTTAGTGACAGGATTTGTCCGGGAGTTCTTGAAGGTCCCGTGGTGAACTTACTGTTTGGTGAAGTGAGAATATCTGCCAGACATATTTCTGAAAATTATCAAAAAATTCTTTTAGCTAAAGATGGACTGGACAGTTAATAAAATCACAACTAGATTAAAAAGAAATTTTACTCAAACTTTTGACTAGTGACATCAAAGCTTATATAAATTACATAACAAATATATCATTCTTCTTCTAAGAAACATCACTATTTTGACATTGCAACAATTAACAATGGACCAATAATCTCAATATTTAATCAAATTTATTAATACCATTAAATGATATTTCAACAAATGTTCAACAGAATATCAATTAAGAGCTTACTGTGGTTGATCTGTGATAGTCCAAAGTCTGTAAGCTTCACATGTCCTTCCTTTGATATGAGCAGGTTTTCTGGCTTCAAATCTCTTATGTTAAATAGCAAAATAACGATTAAAGTTAAGATCACATATTTCAACCAAACTAATAATATTTGGCTCATGAAATTTGATACACATTTCAACTAATAAATCAAAATTCTATAACACAACATACAAACTTATGAACAGGTGAAGAAACAAATGCAGGCATAACAGATAACAACACAAAAAAATGTATTAATGAAAATATTTACTGAAAAATTGTATAACAAGACAGATGCATGCAAACCTATGTATTATAGAATGTTTGTGAAGGTATTCAAGGGCAGCCAAAATTTCTGATAGGAAGAACAGAGCATGGTCCTCTCTAAGACAGCCACAAGTTGACAACAACGACCTCATATCACCACCAATCATGTACTCCATTATCTGACGATTGCATACACTTTTATATACTTTTCATTCGACACTCAACGAGTGTAATTTTTTCACATGCAAAAAAATTAATGTAGTGATTTCAAACAGAAACTTATGTTAAATTACACCTCTTTTCAAATTTTTTAATTTTAATAAGCAGCAGCAAAACACTAACCAGAAAAATGCTCTGTTTTGTTTGCAAAGAGTAGTACAGTCTAACTATGAATGGACTCTTTGATATAGCCAAGGCGTCTCTTTCCGTTGTCACTGTTAAATTTTTTAGTCACATAAAGTTTTCACAGTTTTGCCCAAGTACTGTTCATACATTTTTACGAGTCAAAATTAACAATGAAAGAAACTTTTAACAATGTATAATAATATATATAATATTGTGTCTGGAATAAAATTTTAAAAACTTATAATGAAGAATGCTAATTATTTATACAATACGCTATTGTAGTAGAAAGTAGCTAGTTAAAAAGACATTACTGCAATAAAATATGATCAAATGACCTTGACTCATCAGATTTTTATTAACCATGTCAGCTTTTTTAACCACTTTTATTGCCAATATATTTGTAGGATCTGTCTTCTTGTAGCCTAGATAAACTTTCCTATTTATTCATAATAAAAATTTTATTTAATTATGTGGATAATCACAAAATTGTTAGATACAAATTTTTGTAAAAAAATCTGTTAAAAAAATTTGAAAACAAAGTGAAATAAAATGAAACTTTAACCCAAAAGCTCCCTTGCTTATTGGCTTCACAACAAAGAACTGATCCATTGTAGGGACCTGAAAAGTAATAGAAGCAAATTAACTTGTAAAAAGATATAAAAGATTTGAAAAACTGAGGTATATTTCAGCCACATGTTCTTTCCACTTTTTAAAAATCTTTTCCATTGTTACTATGAAATCATTTCAACAAAAATCTCTAAGAAGATTCATTATTCAGATGACTTAGCTACTATTAAATTAATATTAATAAATCCAACCCATACAATAATTCTGACCTGATTAACATATAATAAAATATGAAGGTATTTTCAATGTGTGCTGTGAGGAAAATAATTGATTACTTACATGGCAGACATGGTGGTGAAAAAAAATGTTTTTCATTTACAGTTTAGAAGTTATTTTAATTGTCTTGAAACTTTGATCATTCTATTTGAAATCTAACTTTTTTGTTTATCTTTTTTGTAGTTATGGTTAGAGATAAAAAAAGCTGTTTAGAATTTACTACAAATTAGTTAATTTAGTAACTTAGACTTAGACTTATTTTTATTTTAAAACTTTTTTCTTTGATACGTTTTATAGAAACCTCTACTACTCTACTTACTCAGCTGCTCTACTAGTTTTCTATTGCCACTCTTGCTACTACTAGTTATAGTAGTTAAGTATAGTACACAAGTAGTTTGAATACTACTAAATTTACATTTTTACAAATTATATGTTTTTATAGTTTATACCACAGTTCAGTTTTTACAACTTATATATGTCTTTATACTAGTTTATGGCTTATGCCATATAATAAGATAAGCTTTTTTAAAGCTTAAGCTTAAGGCCTACTTAAGCCTTAACAACCAGGTTATCAGAATATCTTATAACAAACACTGAAATGTAATATTTTTGTATTGGTAGTAGACTGTAAACTAGTAGGTGAAATTAAAATCATCAAAATTAAAAATAATTAATTTATAAAAAAAACTTTTTATTAATTAAAAATTTTTAAATTAATTAAATTAAAAATTGAAAGCAAAAATTGTTATTAACGTCCGGCATGTTGTCAACCGAAACAAATGAATCACTCGTCAATGTTATTTCTTATGATAAGTAAATAACTAATTATTGGTCACCAATCATTAGGCAATGTAAATTTAAATCCGAAATAACTAGTTTAAAATTTTGAATGGGCGCCATTAGAGGAGCAACATAGCACATAAAACATAGAAACCAAATTATTGGTGAATATTTAAAAGTGAGTTTATTTTGCTCCGTACGTCAGCACATATAGAAAGTTGTTACAAATACAATTTACATATACATCTGTAAAAATGAATTATTCTAAAAGATGCTGATTGATAAGAGCAGACCATTCATCTAAAACTTGGCACAATATATTGAATGAAACGTTCCTAAATATCAGACTGAATCCAACGAGACATTCCTCAAGATAAGGTTATTTTGGCATATTTTATTGATATAAAATTGCAAGAAAATCCTAATTATACTACATAAAAATGCAATTACATACATGCAAGTACTTTACGTTTCAAAACAACATCAAAAAATGATATAATTTATTACATAATCGTAAAATGTAGAAAAAGCAGTTTATCCAAAAAATATAAAATTAAAAAATTTTATTATAAAAATTAGCCTGTAGTAATTAAACCATAAACTGTATCAAAGTTTTTAGAATGTTCTGCAATAGGTGTTTCCAAGATGAAAGGAATATTTTTGAATCTGACGTCGTTGACGATCCTTTTGAAGCAATCAACTCCAATGTTTCCATCTCCTATCGATGCGTGTTCATCTTCCTGTGAGCCTAGCACTCCTGCTTGGCACATATTTCATTCAAGATACATTTAATTTCATACCAAACAACTATATGATATTCTAGATACTGTAGCATACTGAACTGATTTAAGCAACTCAACTTTTTCTTACAGAAAATTGTTATTTCATCAAAGAAAATTTGTAATAAGTATGAAAAAAACATTTATGTTATCAATCTTTAATGATGGAATGATTTCAATGGATTGCTTGTTCGTTTATTTGGAAATACAATCAATCAAAAAACTGTGGTAACATGCAGTGAAAATATGACCTTGGCTGTCATTGAGAAAAATGACTTTGAGGCTATCCATACCAATTTCTTGCTCAAACCTTTCAAAGAAGTTTTCGTACGTTTCTTCAACTCTTATGTCTACGCCTGAGATGTTTTAATTTGTAACATAGATTTATGAATGTAACTGTCCAAAATTATAAATAATTTCATTAATTTATTATTAACATGAATCAATTAAATTAACTTTCAGCTAATTATTAACTCTTCCCCGAAAATTAATCTAAATGAATAAGATGTAGACTACAAAAAAAAACCAACCAGAGGCAAATAGGTGACATGTGTCAATGGCAAAACCGATTCTGGATTTGTCCTCAATGAGAATCTGCAAGTTTTTCAAGTCTTCAACGTCCTTAATCAACATCTTTTCCTCCCCACAGCTATTCTCAATCACTATTTAGGAAAAGTTTTCCATTAACTTAACTAATTTGTTAATAATAACTAATTTATTTAATTGTTTGTTTAATTAATTGTTTATTTGTAAAATCTTGTTGTTTGCTTGTTTGTTTGTTTGTTGGTTTGTTTGTTTGTTTGTTGGAAAATTTTAAAAAAAATTTAAATTTAAATAACCAATTCTATAATAAAGCACCAAAAACCAAATTAAAATATTTTTTTTATTCAAAAATTTTGATAAAAGAAAAATGTTGGCAAGTCAAATAGTAATTAATAACAAAAACTAATAAACATAACTTCTAATGAAAAAATATATGGGACAGTAGAAACCAGCAAGCAAACAAACCAGTGACAACATTGGGAACTTTGAGGTGTAATGCATTCAGATGGTCAGCTAGTTGTTTCATAATTTTGCTCTTATCAGAATCCTCATATGAATCTGAATTTAAAATAGGTTGAATGATGGGTAGAGTTTGTTAGTTTTAATGATGACATCGTTGCAAAAAAAAATGAAAATTGTTAAAAATCTATAAATATAGTCTATCAGTTAAAGTTTTATTTAATTGCTTTAGTTTGAAAAAATTATTCATGGAAAAATTTAGTTTCTTTAAAAAACATATTCGAAAATAAACTAAAAAAATCACAAATATTTTACGGAAGGTTATTTCTGAAAAATTATAAAATTAAAAAACATCAGTTTTCAAAACACATCTGCATCAGATTCGTTCACAAATATTATCTGCCTTAATTGAATGAAGGCATTATTTAGCAAAAAAAATTGAAATTGAAATTAAACTGAATATGATTAGTCATAAAGTATTACCAATAAACCCTACACACTTCCTAGAACAGAAGATAATTTTAAATCCAATTTCGGAGGACATTAAAAATTTTGAATGAAAAAATTGTCTACCCATATAAACATTTCTTAAAAGGATGAAAATGACAAACAAATTAAAGGAAAAAAGAGACAAAGGACGAACTAAGGTGAAGGCAGTAGTTGTTGATGTGGAGCTGCAGACAGTAGTTCATGTCCTCCACAGCACAATCAAATGAGGCACGGACCACGTCATCATCTGAGGAGGTCAAGTCAACTATGCAAGAACCTCGTGCTATTATCGACGATGATGGAGATAAAAAAGATGATGATGGAGATGGCAAAGAAGAGGAGGAGGAAGTAGATGGCGCAGGAGATGATCCTAAACTGCTTTTCTGGAATATAAAAAAATTTGTTTATTAAATGTTTGAACAATTGAAATTCGATGGTAGATGTTGTAAAACTGATGAAAGACACAAGTTCATAAGCATATTCACAACAAATATGTTTCCAATTAACAGCTAAGGTGAGATAGGTTAAGATAAACTGATAAGTTTGAAGAAAAAAAAACAGTACATTACCAGCGAAGCAAACATTAACTAAATTAAATAGAATCCAATAAAAATTTATGCCAATGTAAAAAATATTTTAAAACATCAACACAATGTATGGAGGAAATCAGAATAAAAATTTTTTTTTTAAATAAAAACATCAAGTGAAAAAAACCAAATAAACTAGAATAATAACAGTATCATTATAAATGAAATTATGAATATTACTAACAATAATAATTACAGAGAAATTCACTAATAACCACGGTGATAAAATATAAAACAAACCAGAAGGGCAGATTTAAAATCATCAGCTTGTTGGATTGTTATCTGGTGACTACTGATCCACATTAGCTGGTCTTTCAAGAAGATGCTCATTGCCCTGTAACCTTTGCTTGTTGCACTGTGGATGGCGTTGGTGTAATCACCTAATGACATTGGTGATGACGATGATGATGACGTTGCTGTGGAATTGATGTTGGTGATGAAATGATGTGATGATGTGAAATTGATGATGTTTTATGATGTTATAATGTTAATGTTGATATGGTAGTCAAACAAACATTAAATTGAAGAATTATTTTATACCACATATTGACCATTTAATTCACGAATATTACAAATAGGACCTGTGTATAAAACATGAGCTCCTAACAATAATCCATTAGACTTTTTGTTAATTTCAACTGCTGTCTGACTAGTTAGGGAATCAGTTACTGGGTCATATGTTTTCGTGATGGTTGTTGTTGTCGTGCTATCATCTGGGATACTCTTAACAATATCTTTAGCATCATTGTTTGTTGTGGAATAGTCAAAAATATTGGTGCTTTCATTGTTGTTGCTGCTGTTTGTCATTGCATCAGGTTTGTATATTGCTGTTGTTTCGAGTTTGTTTGAATTATTTATATTTGTGTCTCGATCGTTGAAATTGTTTGTTTGGAAGATTTGTGTTGGAATCAAATAAGGTGAGGGAATGACAAAACCATCATCATCTTTTATCACCACATCTCGTAACCTTCTCTTCTTCAGGGGAACATCCCCAGAGGTCAGTGATGGTGACACCAATGATGATTGTGTCTGTACATCGTCAGTTGTTACAGGTGTAGACTGTTGTTGCACGTTGCTGTTTAAATAGTTGTTGCCTGTTGCTGGTGCAGTGGGTGAGTTGCATTCCACAGTAGTTGGACATGATGGTGAGGATGAAGATTCTATACTGGACTTTGTGTTAAGCTCTGTTGGTGATTTGTTTAACCTATGATCTCCATTTTCTACAATCTTTGAATTCATGTTTGATGCTGTTTCGCTGCCACTAGCAAAATTTTCATTATAATTATACGACTTTTGATACTTCTTTATGAAACCATTGCAAATCTTTTCTGCACAAACTTCAGGATTGTTGTTAATGTTTGAACATTCATGTGCACTTGAACATTTAGACTGAGTCTCAACTGGTGTAACTGCATCATCACTGACGTTACTATCAGACAATGATGGATGCACGCTTAGAGTCACTTTCCTTCTACCTCTACCTCTTGAAGATGTTCTGGCTACTACCACAGACTCCTTTCCAGATGCTGATTCAGTGACACCACTATAAGACAAAGTTGAAGTTTCAAATTTCCTCTTGGCTGGTCTTCCTCTGGTGGGCTTCAAAACCTTTTTCACCTCTGCATTACAACCTTTACCCATGACTGTCTGCTGACTAACTAAAAATTTGTACAAATATTTATAATAAAAAAAAAATTAAATGTTTTTTTTTTTATAACAACTTCTGAACAAAAAATCTTACGAGTTAACAACAGACTTTCCTTTTCTGATTTCTTAGGTCGACCTTTTTTTGGTCCCATAACTAACAATTAAAATTGTTTTTTGTTAGGTTATTTTTTTAAATCATAAAAATATTGTGAAAATTTTAATTTAAAATAAATCTGATTTTTTCATAATAATTTATAAAATGTAAATCGTAACTAAATCAATTAAAATTAAATAATAACTTAATATCCAGCAATAACTGGTTTGACTTGATTGAGATTGAGTGAACTATGAGATTTAATTATTGATTGAATGTTGGTGTCTAATAACTTGCCTTAGTTAGGTTGAGTCGATTCTTGATTTGATTGTGATGTTGGATGTTGATGTCCTGGTCTAATACAATCTCAACTTTTTTTCGAAAAATTTTACTAAAAACTATTTACTTATCAACCAATAACTATTAGTTTAACTTTAACAATCTAAAACTAACTAAAACAACTAAAATAAAATTAACAGTACTAACTACTAACATTATTAAAACTTTTCAAAATTTTAACTTTCAAACTTAACACTTAAAACTTAAAAGTCAAACTTACTAAACAACAGACACTTGATGACTAGATAGAAATTTGATGTCTTAATTAACTTGATTATATTATAGTCTTAACCTCTTAAATAAACTTAAATTAAACTTAAATTAAACTTACACTACAAAAAAAAGTTGGAAACTAATTTTTAAATTAATTAATCAACGCTAAATACAGAAGTGATATAAAATTCAAATTCCTAAAAATTAAATGTTAGAGAAGATCGAACTGATTGTTTTAAATTTAAATAGAACGGTAGCTAATAATTAATAAGATTTTTATTTAAATTTTAAAATTGACTAAGTCTCATGTTTCGATCAATCTTTCTTTACGAAAATAAATAAATGTAGACTAAAAGTGAATTCACGCAATAAAAACTCACAAGAGCTATCTTTTATTTTTCAAAATTTGTTTAAAAAAGTATCAAACATCCATTTATAATTGAATTAAAACAAATACAATTTTAACATAATTTTGTACAATTAAATAACCATTCATACTTAAAATTCAATATTTACAATTGAGCTCGTTATATACAATTGAAATGTTTAAAAAAAATATTCATTTGTTGAAAATTAAAGAAAAGTTAAAACGGCCTCCAGACGTTCTTTTGCACGTTTCGTTCTTCATTTGGAAACAGGTTGGCCGTTCTTATTTGCGAGAGGTCGTTTGAATTTTCAAGTCTCGTTCTTTTAATGGAGTGTGTGCCATTAATTTGAGGAGATAATTGGCTATTGAAAGAAGGATTGACTGGAGTTGAAGTCGTGTGTTGAGGATGGTGACGAGCCACAAGACTTCTTTCATTCATTATTGGACTGCATGTTTCAATATCCACATTCTCCTCTTCATTCTTTAGTTCCAATGAATCTTTAGAAACCTTATTGTCGTTGCATTGTGCTTGTGTATCTTGTTTATGGATCTTCTTAAGTTGGTTGTGGTGTTCAGTTGAGCTCGTTTCGTCGTCAGTTCTTTTTCTTTTAAAATTTTTAGTTGTTTTCTTGTTACTTGTTTTGTAATCATTGTCTGAGTTATTGCTGTTGTTTTCGCTTGTGTTACTATCGGAGCTGATGCTTGAGCTTTGTTCGTCATTGCTGTATGAATAGTAACAGCTGTCGTAACTTGCACTTTTGCACGCAGTTTGAGGAGGATTGTATGAAAAATTTGTCGCCGATTGTGAACTTTCGAAATACATTTTTGAACGATTCTCTGCTTCGTTGGAATTATTTTCAATTAACTTCGATCGTATTGAGCTGGTTGACGGCGAGAATGATGAGGTCGAGGAAGGCGATGGTGTGTATTGATCAGTGAAGGAGTTTCTCGTGTTGGGTGCGCGCTGAACATTAGGCGTCGAGTTGTTTGCTGGAAGATGGGTTGTTTTCGGAGATATTTGTTGGAAGTTAAAAAAATTTTGTTGAGGATGAAATTGTGGCTGCCATGTTTGCCAATCAACAGGTTGCTGCCTCGGTAATTGTTGTAGTAGTTGTTGCTGATGCTGTCGTTGCTGCTGTTGTACCTGTGGAAGTTGTAATTGTTGTGGTTGTTGTAGTTGATGTGGTTGTTGTAGCTGTTGTGGTTGTAGTTGCTGTGGTTGTAGCTGTGGTTGTAGCTGTGGTTGTTGTAGTTGATGTGGTTGCTGTAGCTGTAGTTGTTGTGGTTGTAGTTGTAATTGTTGTGGTTGTTGTTGTTGCTGTAATCTCATAGCACGAAGAGCCTCCATATATGAAACTGCCATCTCCAATATGTCTGCTTTCTCCATTCTGTTGTACATGGACGCCTGTTTCGGTTATCATTAATAAAGTGTTATTGAAGTTTTAATTGGAATATTATTGTTTCAATTTATTAACATTTTTTGAACATTATTTTTTTAAAGATTAATTAAAAAATAAAATAGAGAACTAACATCTTTATTGGTGGCCTCGAGAACCAGGTTCTTCAATTGATCCAACGATTCGTTGATTCGCTCACGCCTCTTCTTCTCTATTATTGGCTTCTTGATCTAATCAAATTTTTATTTTTTTTCAGTTAAGTCAAAAATTGATTTGATTTAATTTCATTGAAAACTGAAAAATATTTGGGTAACGAAATGAAAAAAAATTAGTAGATCAATCAAAATTATCCTACCTTTCTCAATTGATCTCGCGAAACTCTGGAGGACATTTCTTTCCCTCGTTTAAACTTCAAAAATTATTGTAACTATTCAAATCCGCGGCTTGATTTTATTGAATGTTTCAACGAAGTTCTAGGCAGATAAATTTTGACAGATATTAATAATATGGGATGAACTTTTAATATAATTTATAAGAAGCTGTTATTGATCTGGATAGGCAATGGACTGATGTCAACTGAACTGTTTAGTAAAGAAGTTGGTCAACTAAAGAGCTTATATACTTCTAAAGTATCCATTTTGAAAACAATAAAATGATATAAATGAACATATGATGTGTCAAATGTCAGCACCTAGGGTGTCAACATGTTCGCCTAACTTTATCAGCCAATAAAACATCAGTGATTGTAAACAAGACCTCATTATCGCTGTGGATGGGAGGGGACATTTGAAACATCTTGATTTTATTGGCTGGCGATCGTAAAACGAATTAATGCACAATCGTAGCAATATTGCAAACATCGGTTTAACTAATTAAGCAGGCTTGGTGGCTTCCGAACTGCGTGCTTCTTGCGTTTACAAGGTGCTATTTACGATCAGAAATATCTTAATCATATGAACAATTATTATTAATATAATTACGACTTTCATGATTTGTTATTATTAATTAAGTGACAAAGCAATATGTTTTGATTACGACCTAAGGTTTAGCATAGGGTCAAGATTTGCCAGATAATTGAGGCGGCAGTCAAATAAATTTAATGGATTTTCTTAATTGAGAGTAATAAGCAATTAGTTTTAATGGTATAATCAGAATCATTTCTACGCACAATTTTAACAAGATAAAAAATTAAATGGATGATAATTATATGAATAATAAAAAAAACACATTGAAAATAAAAACATATTAAAAATAAAAACTAAAGAGTTGTAAATTAATATTGACGGGTTTTTAATATATCTTTAACTAATCCATTTTGGTTTTGGTTTGAAAATTTTAATTGACGGAGTAGTGATTTTTGAATTCTGATGGTATTAGCTATATTGTTAGTTTGTTAGTAGTAGTATTAGTATCGGTAGCTTTTGTACTACTAGTAGTAGTAGTAGCAGTGGTAGTAGTAGCAGTAGCAGAAGTAGTTGTAGTAAGAGTAAAAGAAATATTAGTAGTAGTAGTGGTAGCAGTAGTAGAGTAATTTGTGTTTAGTAACAGAGTAGTAGTAGTAGTAGTAGTAGTAGTAGTAGTAGTAGTAGTAATTGTGGTGGTAGTAGTAGTAGTAGTAATAGAAGTAGTAGTAGTAGAAGTAGTAGTAGTAGCAGTAGTAGTAGTAGTAGTAGTGATAGTAGTAGTGGTAGTAGTAGTAGTAAGAGTAGTAGTAGTAGCAGTAGTAATAGTAGTAGCAGTAGTAGTAGTAGTAGTAGTAGTAGTAGTAGTAGTAGTAGTAGTAGTAGTAGTAGTAGTAGTAGGTAAGACGATTATAAAGTTTGCGCGTTCTTAGGTTCGTCAATTTCGTGGTTAAATAAGTTTTTCATGAGAAGTTAAAAAACGTTAATAACCATTTTTTCAATGAATAATTTATTCCAATTAAGGCTGCAGATTCAAAAACTAAACACCGTCATCATCATCGTCGTCAATATCAT